TTTGCAGTCTTTCAAGTTAAAATGTAATCTTACTTTGCCCCTTTTTTTGTAGTACAAATCTTTCTACACTTTTCCTTTACTGATCTTCCCTCAGTACCTGCTGGCTGGCAAAGAAGCCATTGTATCTCATGAGCAAATAAATACCTAGGAGAAAAAACAAAAGGAACCTTACACAATACTGTATCTCTGTGACTAGCAGGAAACTTGCTGTTCCAACGCACGTATTTTTTTCCGTTTCCTGTTTTGAGGCCAGGAGATAGATAGCTAAACATGACTGTATCATTAACTTGTTTGTTTCCCAAAGACAAGCTATAGGTACATATATGACAACAGAGTTAGTTCGTATTTGCAAAATGAAAATATTTTCGAATTGAATCAGATGAAATGGCTGAAGACCGGCTGCCAAGATAGAAATCCTAACAGTGGAACATAATTTGAACTTTGCATTCCCACTTCTAATTGCATTTGCTTTTAATTAAATAAACCAGGTGAATCTGTCAATGCCTGTTGCTTTACATTTTAAAAAAATTCTTCAATCATACCACACAACATCCTTTAGGGGGCCAGGGGGTTCCTGAGAATATTCCCCAGGAAAAAAAAAAAAAAAAAAAAAAAAAAAAAATCAACCTTTTACAGTTAAAATACACTTCTGTATAGTGTTTGATTGGTTAAGACTCTAAAATAAATTCTGAAATTAAAATAACAATTAGTATTTGCTATGTATAATTGACTTTTTCTCTGCAATTAATTACTAACCTTGAGTAATTCAGAAAAATTTTGGTAAATCAAAGAATCAGACTTCATTTAACAGTCACCCAATTATTACTATACCATAGTTAATACAACCTGAACTGTTGAAATTAAGTTTATATAATGTTCCTTATCATGATTTTTTCTGTGTAAAAAACCCACCCAAAGCCCTGATATATACACTTGTTAAATTTAGCTCAATTCTTGTTTTAGATTGACATTTAGAGAAGATGTGACATTGAACTTGCTACTTTTAAATGACGTTTATTAGAATCCTGTGCAGCATCTCCACCTTCTGTGCTATGACTTGCAAATGGGGCTGGTACCAATGATTTAGCAAAGAAAGCACTTTGTATTAGAGACCGCCAAATTATTGTACTAACTCATTTATTAATGCCTAAAGAAACAGAAGAATACGTGATTGCTGCTACTATTTCAGTATTTTGATAAAAAAATAATCTTGAAAGTAAATTCAAATCGAAGAGTGATAGACTGTTTACACAATCAGAGAAGATGGTATTTTTTCAGGTTATGTCATTAAGAAATGTACATGACACAAGTAACTGTGAACCTCTTGCAATCACTGTGACTTCGTCCCTACTGACTTAAGTCCCCACAATAATGAAAAATTCTCTATCAATGAGTCTCTGAACTGTTCCAGACATACTGGGGTCTAGATATAATAAGTATGGATATTTTAATCCAGTTGTGAATTCTTTTCAGATACTTTCACTCTGAAATGATGCTTTTAAAAGCAAATACAATGGATAGGGAATGTTGGTAGATTCAAAAAGAGATATGTATAAAGCCAACATATATTGAAATAACTGAAATGTTGCCAGTTAAGTAGATTTTTGCAGTTGAAAACAACCTTACTTGCTTCCCTATGATTTTAACAGCAGTGGTAAAACTGATCAAAGAGTTTTTATTCCCATTCATGCTGCTTTGTGAAACTATGAGCAATAACAAAAGCAGGATATCATTCCTTATGCCATTTAGTATTTTCCGAATAGAGAGTGTATTTCTCCACAAATACCAAAACACAATTTTTTTTTTTTAATTCTGTGGCAGATAGGCCACATTTGCCACAAAGAGCTTATTATTCCCCTGAGCCATGTGCTGGTGTATAATTTGAAGTTTTATACCATTTGCAAGTAGGTAAAAATATTCAATATTAGCAAGCATTGCCCACCGCCCAGTTACTTCCCAGAACAGATTTCAAAATACAAAGTTATTATTTTGAAAGTTGTTTTCATGCAGAAAAAAGTAATAGTTAATCAGTTTTGAGTATGTCACAGAGTATGTCTATGAGAAGCACTGACAGAATGGCATCAAATACTTCCAAGACTCAGATTTGTAATCCCAGAGGTGCAATGGGAAGGACAAAAAGGCTTTGGGTTGGGATTTGGGGGAGAGACCCTGAAGACATGAAGATTGTGTTAAATACAACTCAGGTCTTAGCAGACTAAGACGTAGTGGCTTCTCCTCTTCCCTCATCCACCACTCCCAACTTCCCCTGCTTTTACAAAAAAAAATTTCCCTTAGAAAGTCAATAACGTTCAGGTATTTTACAACTTAATGGGTATGAAAGTGTTAGTTCAGGATGTATTGACAAGTGACAAATCTTTTAATCCCTTAATTTCCGATTAATGTCTCAGCCAAAAAACAAAGTCTCAAAATGGGACATTATGGCTGCGTGAAAGATTGCTATCAACGTAAGTAGTGATCTCACTTCAGTTCACAATGCTCAGAAGTCATGTTGTAAAAGTATGCTGCCCAAGCACGCACCTCCATCAGCAGCTTTGGTACAAAGGGCCATGTGGCAGTCCTGACAGTAACTCTTCCAACTCATAGTTGGAGAGTGGGAACGAGTGAAATGAAATCGTCGCTCTGTGGTTCTTAAAGTATCTTACACGTATCAGCCTGCCCTAAGCATGACATTCATGAAGGAACTCAAGACAAACGTAAGAAAACCTGACAGGAGTAGTAGTACTAATACTAAAGTACACTGGAGATGACTAAATGGACAACATCAGACATCTACAAAAATTATTTCAAAACATGTACAGAAGCTCTATTAGATTATAGTTTTCTAAATTCGCAATTTGTTACTCAGAGCAAACATATAAGAATATGCAAAGACTGATGGCTCTGGGTATTCCATTTCATTTAGGAGGTACCTGATCAGCAGCAGATTACACTGACAATTGAATAAACGACTGGAGTCAATGCATAGCAGAAAAGTTTCCTGACATTTTTTTGTGGGCTTTTGTTGCTGGTTATATTGCTCACATGCAGTTCTACAGTATGACTCACTCACGTAATGGACAGAAATTCATTGAGCATTAATGTCTTGAAGAAAATCCTTATCCCATTAAAAGAAACCTCTTGACCTTATGTAGAAAATTACACTTGCTTCCAGTAACAGCAGTGTCAAAACCCTACCTTTGCAAAGAGTATATTTTGATAATTAATACCAGCGAGACCAGACAACAAAGTGATTCATTTTCTGATTACAATGCATAGTGTGCTTTTAATGCTCTATATTATCCAAGGTTGCTGTGCAGCTTGCCTAATACCATCAAATCTGAGGAGCTCATGAGCAAAATATTTGTGCAATAGCAATATCACTTCTCTAATTTATGGATATGGACTCTTTCTCTTCCTTTTTGCTCCAAAGCAAATGTTGAACCAAAGCAGACTGGTATCTCAGTGGCTACTGAGGCTTTCTTTACAATCATTGCTAAAGGAAGAGTACCTTATTCCCAAGTCATTGTGAAACTATTATGTGCAGCAGAAGAGAACGCACAAAGTACACTTATCCTTTAGTAACTCCTTCTGAAGCTAACAAAACCACTAAGAAATGGTGCAATATGAAAAGATGCATGCCTTTTATGAGTGTCACCCATCCAGCAGTCCTTGCAGGTGGAAAATGAGAATCTCAATGTGCACATTCTACATGGATAGTAGCCTCAAACTGAATCCACAAAAGCTCAGAGTCCCAGGCTTTACTCAAGTATACCACAGCATTTATAACATTTTAGCAATGTATTCATGTTCTAAACAGCACAAACGTTTAAGTAATCTGATTTTTTCCATTTGTGCATGAAATCCAGTTATCACTAAGTCTGACAAATGCAACCCCTCTTTCAAGAGTGGCAGAGGGTTAATGAACCACAGCAACACTTAGATTGTGCAGAGGACATGCTTTTTGCTCCTGCAAGCCCTCGCTCTCCTGCTTATGAAAGTGAGGGACTGATAAGGAAAGAAAATACATTTCCCTTTGTAGTCATCTCCAAGTTGAAACCTTGATTTGAAACATTCTTAATTCACCATCACAGTGACAAGGTGGAGTCCTGTTTTTCTATACAGACCAGCACAGAGTGCAGCCTCTGCAAAATTCTTGAGGTGAAACCATCAAGCACAGCTATCCTCAGAGAGACAACTCTTAAGACACAAGAATGTGGCAAACAACATTCAGCACCTAATCAAGATACTGACATCTGCTTCACAATCAATCTTACTACTTCTGCACGTTAGCCTTTGTGAAAAAACAGTACTAAATATATAGCATTACTTATGTATTGTGATAAAACCATTTTATCGTGGTTTTGAGCACTTTTGACTTCGATGTTTTGCTTGAACTCTGCATAGGGCCTCACAAGTCTCTAATTGAACTTGATATCTAATGATTTTCTGCTATGTTAACATGCATGTTATTCATGGAGACATTTTAAACCCTTTGTTTTACACAAGCATGAATAATGACATTATCTCTTCAGGTGAATTTGTCTCCTCTGTATTTATGTCCTTACAAGAAAGATGGAGCCTGAGTTAATTGGCTAGATTCTCTTTTTAAGCATATGGAAGAAAAAATATTATTTTTTTTTCAGTCATTCTCATCTTATTCTGCAATAGATATCTAAAACATGGTAGCAGAATCCAGCTTCAAAGCATGCACTTATCTCCCGTAACTACAGAAGGAGTCAAGGTGACTTGCTGATCTAGACACATGTAACACTGGGCACCTACAGTTAGACAAAGTGAAGGTCATCTTTAGTAACTGAATGGTTTCTTAGAAATTCAGAATATCATGACTTCAAATAATCTTGGTTATTTCTGGATGAGACATTCCTTGAAAATGTGATGCAATATTTCCAATATACAGCAAGCTATTTGCTGTCCATATTACATCATAAGACTTTTTTTTACTAAAAAAAATAATATATAATACAGCAATGTTTCCTTACCATGGCAGGAGCCATCCACTTCTTCATATCCTACACTGCAGATGCATCGTCCTAGAGGGACAAGCCAATCCCCATCTGCTCCACAATACAGCTTTGGAGTATCACGTTCTTCAGCGCTCTTCACACAGGAGCCCCGTACTTCCACCAAAGAGGAAGAATCAACCCTTGGAATAGTATCAGGAAACATAGCCAAATTACGGACTGTGAAAGGGCACTTTTTGTAATAAACACGGACTGAGACCAAAGCAATGCATGCTCCAATGTCCTGAAAAGCAAGATAAAAACCTTTCTTGTTTATTGGCCCCACCTCACGAACTTCTGTGTTGAGTTTAAGAATGCGGTCACCCAAGTCCATCTGGGTAAAGCTCTCATCAGCTGCAATAGTATCAATTTTAGTGTACTGGTTTGGCTTGAATTTCACTCCATGAGACTCATCTGACTCCATGTAGTAGAGATTGAAAGTTTCCTTGCAGGTTCCCAGTACCCATGGAATACTGTTACAGTCCCTCAGGGTAAACTTCATTTCCACATAAATCTTCTGTGCAGCATCACGGGAGATCCAGTTTGTTCGAAGCCAGTTGTTTTGGTTTGGTTCCATCACATTACATACCTGGTAAGTATGAATAGGACGATTGTGTTCATCCATTTCAGTTATGGCATCCCACTGAAAAGAAAATAAAATTGTTAGAAAACTAGGAAGAACATGTATTATATGTATGCATATACACAGAGCTCATGTATATACATACACACAAGCACCCCATGTACATGCACCTTTGGCTTAACAAAGACTAATTATTTACTTAAATTTTAGTGGAAAGACAGTATTTTTAAAACTCAAGTTACACTCCTAAAGATGCATTTTGAGTATTGCAGCAGCTGAATATTCATAGTGCCTACTGACTTCACCACTACAAAGAAGGTAGGGTTGGCCTGCGGCCTACAGGATTGAGAAAAATGTAGGAAATACAAGTTTAATTTACCATTTTAAAGCAATAACATGTTTTATATATATATATATATATATATATGTCACTATTTAAGAGATTTGGAGAGAAAAGCTTTATCTGTTCATCTTTTTCTGTAAAAGAGGAAGATATCACTTAAGAATTAGGTCCTAATTTTCAGAAAAATTCCCTGACATCAGATGACTTCTAAGGCCCAAGTGAACATGAGAAAATTAGCTGGCTTTACTTGACGTTTTAAGAACAAATAATGTCACAATATGGAAGCTACAGAACAAGCACATCTCTGAGGTCTTTCACGCAATCTTTATATACAAAACCCACACAACAACAACATGGGGAGAGCAGGAAGTGGAAGAGACCACCTTCTTCTTGGGAGTGAATTGATCGATCACTGTGGAAGCAGCAGGGAAAAAACAACAACAAAAAAACCCACCAAAACCACAAGAACACTCAAAACAAACCCAAAACAAAACAAAAAAACCCTGTGGCTCCATAGCCCAAAAACCTTGATTTTAAATAGTGGCTGAAATTCATGGCATTCCAAGTGCTGCCAGACGCAATCAGAGGCCTGGGATTCCTGGTCACTGCAGCATATGCCTGGGAGCTACACAGAAAAATCGGGTAAGTTAAGTCCTTTACAGGCCATTACTTGTGGGGTTTCTTCCTATCATAGCAAAAACGATAACCTTGCCTAAAGATCCTGTCCTAAGAATCACAAAACATACTTTTTATCATAGCCAGACAATGGCAAAAAAATGGCAAACAAATCTGATGACTCTTAACAGATTGTTATAAGGCCAAGGGCTTTTGGCCTGTGAGACTTGTACACATTCAGAAAGGTCAAAGCTGCTACTTCAGCATTCATGGCAAGACCAGAAAAAATTCAGATTTGGCCAAAATTATATGATGGACTAGTTAGCACAGGGCTTTTTGTGCCACTGTCCCTAAATTATACAGTTCAAACCAATTTAAGTCTACCCTGTAGCAAGCAATGTAATACCTCAAGGAGATCTTGGCTTTGGGAGAGGAAAAGGGGACTTTCATGCTCTGGTGGGACAGGCCTCTTTTGCCAAGCATGAACCCACACAGCTTGAATTGATTCAAATTCCACAGCCATGAAGAATTAGAAAAATTAAAATATTACTTTATCATTTTAAATAAAATTAATTAAAATCCACAGCTCCAAGCCTTAAAATACCACAAGAAAGGTTCTTTAAAAACAAAGTGGTTAAGTCTCTCAGCTGCTGATCCCCATTTTGCCTATCAAATCTGTTAGATGAGCCAAGGTCATATCACCTTTTTTCCACATATAAAACAGGTACTGTAAGTTTAAGCATTATTATGTAAATTTGTGTTATACAGAAATATAACCACAATGTAGTTTTATTAAAAACAAAACCAAAAATCAAACCAAACAGAAGCACCAAAGGCTTTCTGCGTTTGTTTGTGTATCAAACCATGTTAAAAGGAGGATGTGCTATACGCTCCAGAGATGTCTCTGGGAAAAAAAACAACACACAAAAATGCAAAAAACAAACCAAACCCAAAAATCACTAACAAAAAACAAAATATCAAAAACACCCTCCACACCACAAAAAAATCCAAGCAAAACCAAAAGACCAAACCCTCAAAGAACCCACACAAAAAGAAAACCCCCAACCAACGGAGAAAAAAAATACTACCACAAACCCAGAATATAGGAGTAGCAGGTGTGATGACAACATAATTTTTAAAATACAAAGCAGTCTTTAGAACCAGAGAAAACTAGCTTAAATAAAAAACTGCTTAAAATATTAAGAAAAAAAGAAATCCAACGTACCCTTCCCTTACTGTGAGATTCTCTTCAGAAATATTTATGTATTCACTTTGAATCAATATCTCGATTTGAACTTAGAAATTAAAGCCCTGAAGTTAGCTGCTAACTCTGTAGTTAATATAAATCTATTGCTTCTGTAGGAAAGTAAAGGCTCAGCACTTCAATGACTGGCTTAAAAGAATGAAACAAGACGGATTGATCAAACATGGACAGTGCTTTAGTTCATTCAAAGAAAGCCTTGCGTGCTTCATGCCACTGCCTTTCCATTGTGCTCCCAGACAGCCTGCTGACAACTCCCAATTTATAAGAACTCATGCACTGGGCAAGAAAAATGTTTAGAAGGCATTTGCAGAAATGTTTAACAGAAGTAGTAGTCTATTCATTATACATATAAAATATATTCAGAAAACTTTAACCTCTAATGTTTCAACCTAGCCATCTCACTGAGACATACTCTGTAAGGTGTGCTTATAAGTAAAGCTATGAATTTATTACTCGTAATTACTAATTTGTTGCTCTTAATTACTGATGCCAGATACTAAGTACAAACGAGGTGAATTCCACCACCTCAAACGTCAATGTAATTTACTGAAAAGTCTGACAGAACTGTGACAGTCTCCTACAAGGACACATTACTGCGGCATAAAATACAATCTACTTTAAATTTTACATAGGTGTTTTTCTTCTGATTAAAACAGCCAGGAAATATTAAGCAATAGTTAAATTCAGTGCAGAGAACAAAAAGCTGAACAGTTTATCAAATACACACTAGTTTTCTTCTAGGTGTGTGTCATGTTACCTCCTAAATAATTAAATGAAAAGTATTTATAAACATTTGTGCAAAACTATTCTTCACTAAAATCTTAAAAACAAACAAGTGGAAGCATACATTGGTAATGTTTGTACAAGAATGTGGTAGCTTCCCCCAAAATACCTAACCTGACATGCAGAAGCTGACAGTTGAGACTTCCTTCGAAATGAGCCTCTTGGTGTCCCAGTGCACTACATTACCTTCAAAATGTTTTTATTATGTTCCTTTCAAACAAGGAAAACCTCCGATAATGTTGATGGAAGCAGGAGCAGTGTAGAGCTAGTTCTTACAACTAGAGTTCCAGGACTTATGAAGAAGTAATGTCAAAAACAGGGTTTGGAGGAAAGGCTTCAAAAGTCTATTTTAACACTGTGATCAACAACAGCATGCATAAGAGGTTACATTTACTTTCACATCTGGCATAAAGAAGGAGTAAACGTCACTAAAATAGAAGAACAGAATTTGAAGGTTGGTAGAAAGAAGATTTTAAGATTACTTGTCACGTTCATGTACAAAATATGAGATTAGGCTACAAACTGCACTGAGCCTATAGTTATATGAAAACAGCTGAGATTGTAAAGTAGCTTGTAGATAGATACAATCTTTCTGTTTCATTTTAGAACTTCACTAATATTTAACAGCTGTACAGAGAATGCTACAAAGAGCCAATTACGTAATGGAAATCTTCTACTAAATATATGTAATACCAAAATCCATTTTCAGTGTTTCCCACTTTGTTTTTCAAGTTTTAAACCAAACACTACAGATTTACAAAAGCAGCAAGAACCATTTATTACAATTCAGTAGGTTCTATCACCAAAGGCTGTATAAGCATTACGAAAACAGAAATTGCATTTCACACATTTTAAGTTATTTTTAAACACATTACTGTCTGATCAGAAAAAGCCTTAGTGATACCACACTACAGCAAAGTAAACACAATGGACCAGTTTCAGCCTGATGGAAGCAGTCATAACTTCTCTGAAGTTATTTCAACAAATTCTGAACCTTGACTTATCTTTAAACCATGGTTAGCCTCTTAAGCAAACCCTTATTGAGGTCTTTAAAGAGACTTTAAATTGACAAAAGGCATGATTTGCCCAGTACTAGCCATATGCAACATGGGATTTAGAAGAGGAACACAGAACAGGAAGGACTGAAAGGATATCAGCATGCCCTGTTGTCATCTCCCAGCCCTCTCCGGCAGCATCATAAAGTCACAAGTTCCCACAACAACCCTCTGATTCTTCTTTGAGTCCCAGTCCCTGGTGCTGCCTACGAGCAGCAGAGAGCAGTCATGGCACTGCACCAGAGCCAGGAATAGCACATCTTTTCCCATGTGAAGACCTGCGCTACAGGCACCTCCCCACCATGTCACCTGAGCCTCTTGTTTCCCACACTGACAATCTCCATTGTACCATTTGCATAGAAGCAAGGCCAAGCAGATTCTCACTGTTTAGCAGGAGCCCTATTTCTGCTTACAAATAAAATATTGTAATGAATTCTTCATGTCAAACTCTCCTGTAAGAAGCTTTTCCAATTAATGGGGTAGTTATATCAATCAATTGAAAATGTCTATTTCTTAATGAGCTGATATCTAGATAGCTTCACGTGTAATGAAAGACACTTTTCCCACAAGTTGTCACACTGATTGATGAATTAATAGTAGGTTCTTAATCTCAGATAACAGTTATTCAGGCACTGATCCCAGCAGCAGTTTGGTAATCTAGGATGGTAGTTTTAGCCTCCTGCACAACTCAAGATTCTTTTTATTGGTATTTTACTTCATTTAACGGAAAAGGTAGGGACACTGGTTACAGTCTAAGTAACCAGCGTCCCTATCTTTTCCTTTAAATAAAACGTCTTTACTCAGCAGTTTAAGGAATGGAAGAGACCATCTGTCCTTACAAGTTGTGCTGCATTTGTATCCTGAGCTAGAAAGTTCCCTTCCCTTTCCCCTTATCCTTTTACTCAAAGGCTAATTCTGTAAAAAACGAAGGGTTCTGCACTTACACACACCTAACCAGTGTTATTCAATCCTGAATAAGGAAAGCAGGATATGCAGACTT